AATTTATAAACTATCAAGGGATCATGAGGGAGGGGGGAGGGGGGAGGGAGGGGAAAATGGGGACCTAATGTCCGGGGTTTAAGTGGAGAGGAAATGTTTTGAATGTACAAATGCGCTTTACACAATTGATATATGAATGGATTGTGATAAGAGTTGTATGAGCCCCTAATAAAATGATTTTTAAAAAAGAGAGAATCTTCTTATCATTACCTACCCACTATATGAACTGGACTTCATGCCTTAAAAGTTCTACCACCTATATTTGTGGCTAAAGCTATGGCCCCAATACCTAAGCATCACTCACAAAAATAGAAAAGAGGGCAAGATTCTCAATTCCAATTTTAGTAGGAATCAGCACTATACAGGAGCCATTTCATTCCACTGAATTTCAGCTATGGTATTTTGTGGGATTATAAAGAGACTTCTCCTCAGCTTTGTGTCCCCCAAAGATATGCCAAACATTGGAGGCTATTTGCCAGCATATGGTGAGAGGTCAGATGCTTAGAGACACTCAGTTGCCAGACTAAAGTCTGGTCCCACCACAGGTGGAGCCCACTTATTGCTGTTAAGGACAATGGGTTATTTCTCCCTGAAGGCTTCCAGCCATCAGTCTGGCCCATAGTAGGTGGGGTTCACACCCTACTGATAATGGTTTCCATGGAGAGCCAGAGAACAGGTCAAACCTGCTCAGTGGCATCCAAAGTAAGGCTGTCATCCTCAATCTGGGATCCACCCATCTTGTCACGTGTATACCCATAATTCCTCCTTTTCATATAGCATGTGTACCCCTAGGTTGTCCCCCTCGCATTACTGTACAGTATTACCTATAGTACAACCCCTTCCTGTGACGTATATCTTTACCTGTAATTAGGGGGCTTGCACACCCTCCAAAGATATATAAGCCTTGGTGAGCAATAAAGAATCAATCTCTCTCTCTCTTTCTATCTCTTTCTTCTCTCTCATTCTGGTGCTCTCCACACCCCCACACCCACCCCATCCTCGCTCCCGTTCCCTTTCCCCTTGTCCTCCTTCCCCTCCCCTCTCTCCTGCCCTAGGGTCTCCCATCTCCACGTGGACCACCAAGCAGGGCTGAGATGGGCATGCTACTATGAAATGTGTCTGACTCCATTATTTCAATCTCTCTTCTCTCATGCTATAACTTTATTATATATATGTATTGTTTAACCGTACAATGCCACCTATCGAACACACGATTAGTTGTGGGGGCTGGTCTTTCTCCCACAGTTATCTCTTCAAACGGCTTGACTCAACATCTGTATGGCAGCCTCTGTTTTCACCCTACAAAACCACATAAACTCCCTAGAAGCTGATGCACTCCAAAATGGAAGATGCCTAGATATGGTAGCTGCTGCACAGGGAGGAATCTGTACCAAACAAAAACTTTGGGGCTAACCAGATTAGTCAAGTTCAAAATCACATTTGCTGTTTCCTATATAAGCAAGGCAGCTCAAGGCCCAGGGAGAACAAGGATGGCACATTCCTGGTCCAGTATGTGGCCTTGGAGCTCTTGCTTGCCTTTCTTAAGTCCACCAGCCTCTTGAATAGTTTTATTGCTCTCTGGATCATGTATTCTTAATATGCTTGTCCACTTAATATCTTCTAGGCTAAAAGCTATTTATGCCTCGGTATTCAGCCCTCTAGTGTAAAGCCAGATTGCCCTGTGACTGGTACCACGATCTCAGGCAGGTTGTGGTTTCATGTTTCCTAGCAGTGCCAAGTAGGATACCCGGAAACTGAGGCTAGCCAACCTGGGAGCAGCAAGACAAAGCCAAACGCCGAGGGGAGGACTAACCAGCCAGTGCGGGAACTACACAAAGGACCAGACAGCCAACCTACCTCAAGTGAGCTAATCAGTGGACTGATGGTGGTGAGGGGGGGTGGGGGTGGGGTGGAAAGAGGGGGAGCTGGGAACACCCTGTACCTCACAGATATATACTTAAGAATTTTTTTTGTTCAGGGCTTTAGCCCAAGATGGTGTGAGTGGTTAAACACCTGAGGACTGGAGCCCTGGCTTAAGCATGCATAATAAAGGCCTCTCTGTATAGCAGCCTTGTGTTTGATCTCGTTCCATTGAAAGGGAAATCGCTCCAGGTCTTCGCTAACGCTAGCTCCTCAGCCATTGAAGTCCACACCCACAAGATCTCCAACAAACCCTAACCCCAACCTGCCCTGAGAGGGAACAGGTGATATCTTCTTACACCCTGTTCTATCACCATACTCAGTAGGAAGCAGCTATGTAAGGATGAGCTTCTACTCTCACCATCCCCCAAATAAAACAAACTGTTTCAACAGTTCTGGGAAAAGACCATATGGACTCAATATGTGTATCTGATATCTGAAGAGAGTAGACTTGAAAACCTGTAGCTGAGGATATAAAACTTACAGGAGGGCATCCAGACTAGTGTATTCTTTTTCCAATAAAATAAAAGCTTACTTGCTTGATTGTACTGTCTCCATCCTTGAATTTTCTCCAGTCAGGAGTTAAGGTGTAAGGAGGGGGATGTCCCAGATTTGTGACTTCTTCAGCTAATAGTTTCAAACTGCTGACCTTGTGATTAGCAGCCACACTTACCCACTCCCCTACTATGGCTCTTCAATCCACTGCCATTAAATAGTTCAGACTTATATAGTGCTTCAGAGGCTGTAAATTTTTATAAGAATAGACAACTTCATCTTTCTCTTTCAGCGCAATTGGTAAGTTCAAACAGCAGTTAGTAGCCCAAAGCTTCAGCACATAGTACCACCAGCCTCCTCACACCAATTCTGCTATCTAGATCCCAGAATTAAAATGATTTTTTACTTTTATTTTTAATCATTTTATTAGGGGCTTATACAACTCTTATCACAATCCATATATACATCAATTGTGTAAAGCACATTTGTACATTCATTGCCTTCATCATTCTCAAAACATTTGCTCTCCAAAACATTTTTCCTCTCCCTCCCAAAATGGTTTCTTAAGAACTGTGTCCAGTGACTCTGCCTAGCAGTTAAGCTGCTACAAAATCTGTCCCAATCTTCCTAAGCTTATTTCCCACGTCTACTCACCAAGTTTTATGTGCCCAATTCGAAGGCCAATTTGTTTCAAGATGTTTTCTATTAGAAGTGAGCTTCTCCTTTTGTAAGGACTCATGGTAGTTTGCTGTAATGTCCACTTTGTGCTACTCTATTTCTTTGTTAAATATGTATACCTATTCCTCACTTATCAACTAACTCATTTTCTGACATTTTGGATTTAGATCATAATATAACTAATTTTGAGAATAACTAATGTAAGTCTGGCAGGAATGAACTTCAACATGGGAGATGAATGTAACAATAGCTGTGTTGGTTAAAGTTACATGGCTAGGCCATGATTTTCTGTGCTTTGGCAGTTATCTACTGATGAAATCTGGCAGCTACATGATGTAATTTGGCACTTATGTAATGATGCAGTTACCCTTCATTTTGTGATTGGATGTACCTATCCATCTTGGCATGATGCCAATTGTCATATAGAGCATTGGAATCTGACCATATTGATGAATGAGGAGTGAGTGTGCTATTTTCCCAAAACCAAATAATTGGAAGGCAAGCCTACCACTAATCTTTGAATTCCCAGTTTTCAACAAAGAGCCTACACAGATCAGAAGCTCAATGTATGTTTGCCAAAAATAATGTGATAAGTTTTAAATATTTTCTAATTTGTTGTACAATTTACCAGAAGATACAAACGGTTTTTAAAATGCTCTCTTTTACACAACATCAAAATTTGTTTTGCTTTTTCATGTCCTCTTGTCAGATATTGATGAAGAATCAATAAGCATTGTGTATCAGTGTGGACAATGAGCAACAAAGCCAACCAGATAGTCATAGTAACAATCCTCACGGAGCTTACACTCCTATTAGGAAAGTTTGTTTTTTAGTTTTACATTTAAGGCAAATGTAATCACTGCAGGAAATATTGACCTTTTGAGGGAGATCATATATAAATGTATCCATATAGCAACTTATACGAATACATTAAATGAAGCATTGGGTTATTAACCATCAGCTGCTCTGCAGGAGAAAGACGAGGCTTTTTACTCCATTAACATTACCTTCTTGGAAATCCACAAGGGCAGCGGTAGTCTGATTTACAGACTCACTAGGAGGGGGAATCAATGGCAGCAAAATTATTTTTTTAATAGCAATTGGCAAGTATATGGGAGGGTGTGTCAAGGGAACGCTCTATGAAGCTAATAAATAGGGTGCTAAGGAGAGGGGAAGGAGATTGTTGAATCTCCGTAAGTGTGTAATCTGCATGTCAATCTTGCATACCTTCAAATTTCTAATGTGTTTTTTAAAGACTTCGTAACTTCGGATTTAAGAAGCCAAGTTATAACCAACAAAACATGTAACTTATCCTGGTATATATGAGTGCCTCTAATGCTGATGTGGGGAATAAAGTGTTTTGAAAAATCCGAAACTTTCACAGCTTCAGAAGTCTCGGGAATCAGTTTCCCCTGCGGCCCCTCCGTCGATCTCCGCCTAGTTGTTTACTTAGTAGGAGAGTGGACTTTAAGAACGCAGAAGGTACCTGCGACGTGGTTGTAGACGGTGCTAGATGGTTTTCCTATGGCGGAACGGCTACGGGCGAGGTATACCTATTTAAGACCCCGGTTTCACCATCTTTCACAGCCCAGGGTCCACCTTGAATCCACATCTCCAGCGACACGCCGGGCGACAAACGGAGGCCTTGTTTATGTGACTCATTTCGTGGGACCTGGGCGGAGTCTCCAGCCCGCCGGCATGTCGGCTGCTCAGCAAACACCTCCCGAGCCTGCCGCCCAGTGCGCGGGGCCTCAGCTCCGCCGCGCCCGTCTCCCTTCCCGCGGCGCCGCCCGCACCCGCCTCGGCCACCACCCTGCTCCAGCCCCTCCGCCCGCCGCCGCCACCAGCAGCCGGTCCACCCACCTGGAGACCCCAGCAGCCGCTGCCCGGTCTGCCGCCCAGAGCTTCCTCTTCGGTCTCCTTGGTTACGGCGCTACCTCGGTAGCCACAGCAACCAGAACGCGTGGTCCTGCCTCCGGGTACCGGAAGAGGGCGCAGGGGAGCGCTGCGTAGAGAGAAAGGTGTTGGCGCAGGTAGGCAAGGGCAGGGGAAACCTGTGCTTTCTTGAGGGGAGGAGTGGGATAGGGGGCGTCTTGGTCTCCAGGCTGGGAGTTCCATTCTTCTCTCAAAATCCTCCAAACACGTTGCCATGCAGTAGATCCCCACGCATAGCAACCGAAGTGATCGAATAATAAATAATACAGTCAATATGATATTTTAACAGCCAGTTAAATCCTCACAATAGGAAACATGATAATGGGAGAAAAAATGGTTTGAATTCTCAAGGATTCTGTCATTCTTGTATCCACAATCAATGCTCGTGGAAGCAGCAGCCAACAGATCAAAAGACGCGTTGCCTTAGGTAAATCTGCCCCACAAGCAAGGACTAGGGTGCATCTGACCCAGGCCATAGTAATTTCAATGGTCTTATATGCATGTGAAAGCTGGACACTGAATAAGGAAGATAGAAGAAGAAATACATTTGAATTGTGGTGCTGGGGAAGAATATTAAAAATACCATGGACTGCTAAAAATGCAAACTGATGTGTCTTGGAAGAAGTATGGCCAGAGTGCTCCTTAGAGGCTAGGATGGCAAGACTTCGTTTTACTTATGTTGAACATGACTTCAGAAGTGATCAGTCCCAGAAGGACATCATGTTTGGAGGACAACAGGAAAGAGACGGCCCTCGAGGAGTTGGATTGACACAGTGGCGGCAACAATGGGTGTGGGCATGGGGACGATTGTGAGTGTGGCGGGGCCTGGGAGTGCTACCTTCTGTTGACCACAAGGTCAGTGTGAGTAGGAACGGACTCAATGACACTTAACAATGGCAAAAATACTTACTGAGCAGTCATCCGAGGCACAGTTCTAAGAGCTTCATCTCTGATATTTAATACATAAAATTCCAGTGAGGTAGATATTTTTATCACCCTCTATTCTCATGTAATAAAACTAAGTTAGAGAACATTTGAGTAACTCAACCCCACAGTACATAGTAAATAGCAGGAAGAGGAAGTAATCCAAGACTTTTGCCTCAGAAATTCCAGGTCCATATATATCAACGGTAATTTTTTATCAAAAGTTTCAATATACAAGCTCAATATTAGACTCCAGGTCTTTCTTCTGGCAAGGCTAGAACTGTGGTTATGCCAACTATATGATACATGAGGTTTTGTGAGTGTAAATATAGGTATGTTTTGTGGTTTTTAACTGCTGTCATGTGGTGATTAGCAGGGCTGCTCCAGAGCTGTCATGTTTTGGGCTGTCATGTTTACACAAGCAGATTTCTAGGCCTTTATTTTGTGGTACCTCCCGTGAGTTTGAACTATCAACTTTTTGCTTGACAGCAAATCACAGACCAGGCACTACCCGGGCATTTTGTTTGCCATCAGTTCAATTCGGACTCCTCAGAAGCCTTTATGACAAAGTACATCAGGCTGCCTCAGAGGGTTTCCTACTATAATTTCTGCTGGGACAGATTGTCAGGTCTTTTCTCCAAAGGCCCCACTGGGTGGGTTTGAACTGCTGCCATTTTGGTTAGCAACTGAGCACTGAACCTTGGGTCATCATCATGCCTTTGGTTATAATATACACATATACATATATAATTTTAACTTATATTTGTAAATTTCTATTTTTTACTTGAAAAAAGGAGACATCTATGATAAACTTCATGTTATTTTAGTTTCCAAATATGCTGGGTTTTGATATCTACTTCATACATTGCAAGTAGAATGTGTGTTTAATATTGTAGTCTCAGCTCTATAAACACCTATGGCTTCTACCTTTTTCTGGGCTAACACTCTCAATTATTATGGTTAAGATTCTGCTGCTTTTTAAATTAATGTGTCTGTCAATCTCCATTTTAAGAACACACTCACTGTTTTCTTTTGGCTGATTAAATTGTATATGATTATAAATTATTGTCATGTGTGTTCTGGTAATGTCACACTCAATTGTTGTGTTATTTTGAGCAAGGTAAACATTCTAGTATCACTGTTTTCAGCGGTTCTCAACCTGTAGGTCACAACCCCTTTGGGGGTCGAATGACCCTTTCACAGGGTTTTCCTGATTCATAACAGTAGCAAAATTACAGTTATGAAGTAGCAATGAAAATAAGTTTATGCAAGATTGACTTCCTACAAGACATCCCCAAGGAGAAGCTACATGGACCTATCCCAATGCAGCCTTGAGTGCTGGAGCAGCCGTGTGGAGACCCCTGCTAGTGCTGAGATGCTTATTCATTCACTGACTCAGCTTTCCTCCTGCAGTCGGC